CTAGAAAGCGAAAGTAGAAACATTGCACCCAACTCGTCTGTTAGCTTTAGTTGTAAAGAAATTCGAGCTCTCTTCTTTGTGCTACTTGTTAAATCTCACGCACTTTTTAAACCACTCATATAATTAGCTACTTCTCAAAAGCTTAGCGAGTAGTCAGTCAAATTAGAGTCGATTTAAGGGTCGTTCAATGTACAGTGGGATTGATAGGGGTTCGTGAGGAAATCAACTTATCATTGACCTTATGTATGCGGCATTAATGATAGGCTCTATTAGTACATTTGAAATAGTTGTAGGGTTCCTGTGAACTCAAAAAGCTGTTATATTTATCCCGTTGACTTCATTCATCAAACATATTATTGCATATATTCATTCTTTCAGGTTAATTGATTATCTCTCTGTGACTTGATATTCTGAACGTCTTTGATATCGTGTTTTCAGTGGAGATGTATTCTTATCAATTACCATGATCACAACATAAGCTGTTAAATAATGATTTTGTATCTACATCTCTGATCAAGACACGCATACACAGATCTAACAGGCGTACATAATTTTGTAGAAAACAGCTCAGCCGGAAACAGAATACTTGCATTGGTTGGGGTAACTTTAAAATGTAGTTTAATCTTCTATCAACCCTAGAATTTACCCAGAAATCGTAAGAAAAAGCACCTGGCTTGAAAAAGTGGAGGAAAGCTTGCCTTCTAGATGTTAGCTAGGCAGAAGTTGTCTCCGTTCAATACACATCGGCATACGCATACCCCATCAACCATTGCTGTTCGTATTAAAAAATCTGGTCTTATTTTAGTAGCATGAATGGATGACATCTTAGAATCAAGAAGTAGGAGCGGAGAGACAACCTTGTAAGTCATCATCTTGTAGAATATTCTATTTCAATAATTACATCATCATCTACTTTTATCATCTTTATTTCTTTTTGTTTAACGGGATTGTAGGATTTATTTTCTTCATTAATAAACTCCCCATTTCATTTGCCCCTAAAATATTAACCTCATGTTAAAAACGTTCTCTTATTTGGTTTGATTTTGATTTATTGGTTTCTCTTAACATTTTGACTCTTCTCATTTTCTCCACTCCCTTCAATTCATGTTTTATGGGCCATCCTAAGAACAGCATCCATCTTCATGAATGATACTTCGCTCATCTAGTTATCTACATCTGGTTGGCCTATTTTGAAAAGTTATATTATTACCTCTCTTTCAAATCCTCTACAGACAAGAAACATGGTCAGGTCGTAGATATATAATTCACCTGTCTTAATCAAGTCCCACACTCTATCTCCTCTCCATGATGCCGCGCAAAGTTTGGTTTAATTAGTCGTGTTGTAGTTTTTTGATGCCGCGCAAAGTTTGGTTTAATTAGTCGTGTTGTAGTTTTTAACCCCTACGTGCTCACTATCGATAACGCTCCTACCCCCCTCCGGGTTTAGTTAAACCCCTTGCCTACCCCCTCCAGGTTAGTTAAATCCCCCTTGCATACTCCCTCCCTCCAAGTTAAGTTAACCCCCTTGCAACCCCCCCCCCTCCTTCCAAGTTAAGTTAACCCCCTTGCCTATCCACCTCCAGGTTAATTAAATCCCCCTTGCTACCCTCTCTGGGATAATTAATCACCCTTTATCTCGAGTCTTCCCCTGACTCACCCCTATAATAAGACAACAAGCTGGCATATACATCATCACGTGTTATACTTAAAGCGATTACCCCCCCCCCCCCCCCCCCAGTTCCTGAGGTTCATTCGTCAGCCAACTTTACATGTTATTTGAGAAAGTGTGCATGACTCACGGACGCTTCATATAGAATCAAGTTATTTTAGGCCAACCTTTACGTAAGCTTCCCTTGTTTCGGGGGAGCGCTGACGTACAAAATACGCAACAAAGAGGGCTCTCTAGAAATATGAACATGGCGTTCGCCAAACTAGAAGAACAACAGGTGTATTGTCTCCGAGGTACAGAAGGGAAGTTAACAATGCAACCGACCATGCCAACGTTTCCATGCGAGCGATTCTATATATTTCTTTGACACCTTAATATCAACTAAGATAAACCTTTGCCAAACAGTATAGGCCTACATTAGAATAGTTAGGAGTGTTATTGATGTCTGAAACTATTACCACTGCTTTTAGTACCGAGCTGTTCAATAACCACCAATGAATATATAAATGAAAAAGATATATTTTGTGTTGAGGTAATCAAAAACAAGAAAACAGCTACGGTGGATTTTAAAAACTACAGTTAGACTATAGCCGGAAATACCCCCCCCCCGGTTAGTGTTATGGCTAAAGAAGAATCATTTAATTGTAATCACATTTCTGGGAATGATGTTAAACCGAAATATAGCACCATAACTGCTGTGAATCATCATTATCATGACATCATCATCATCATCATCATCATCATCATCATCAACATCACCATCCTCATCTTCCTCCTCATTAACAACATCAATTGAATGTGAGACAGGCTATACAAGTCATAATAGATATGTGGCAAATTATATCAAGAAGGGGACGTTTGAGCCATAACAAATTAGAGTACAAAGAACAAATTGAAAGAAATATATAAATGTGCGTATAGTTATCCAGAAATATTGAAGAAAAATTATTACACAATATTATTTAGAAGTCTTGAAATTATATCTTAGCAAATCAAAAAGTGTTGAATTCCATCAGTACAAATTTCTTTATGAATTGCAGCAACATAGATTTAAGCAATTCACATCCAAAATCAAAGGTTTTGGGGCCCCCGCCCCCCCCCCCCCCCCTGGATCCGCCACTGCCATAGCGAGTGCAGATTGAGCAAATCAACCTGTCATCAACTCATCGCTAGCTCAATCGGTAAGGGCAACGTAATACTAATAGAACTTTCGAGTTGACTTGAGGGTTTGAATCTCAGTATTTGTTCAGTTTTTATGCCTTTATAAATAGTGAGGCAAAGCAAGAAATAATTAAAAGTCGAATTGTTTGTTACCTCTTTGCAAGCTTTGGTAGCTTGTTATGTATGAAAATGAGTTCATAATGGAATCTGGGCTCGCTGGGGCACAAAAAAATAAGATAATTTGAATTGGAGATGAGTAGCTCTCTCATGCAATCATCACCACGCACATCCCACAGCATACGGTCAATAAGGACAAACTGCTCATTGGCTGTATGCTGCCCTCTGTTGATATAATCATTATAAGTGTTTCTTTTTCTTAAATATTGTCACACAATATACAGGATATCATTAAGTATCCTGTCAATGAATACATATAACTAGATTTATAAAAAAAAAAAATAATGGAGCTCTTTCCCCAACCCTGTGTGTCTTTTTTTAATACTAGTTGATTCTACTCGGATATGCAGGCAAGCCCCTATTAGAATATCTGTTATTTTCATGAAAAACGGGGAATTGCTTTCAACAGACTTGAATGTGAAAGACCCTTTGTATTTCCTCGCGCAAGTTCAGGGCCCTTTCATATGGACAAGTAAAACCCTGTCCATCAGTTTTACAGACTGGAAGAGATTAGGATAGGACTGTGGAGTGTAAATAAGACAAGGAAACTTAAATTTGAAAAGGTTAAAAAAAAAAAAAAATTGGCAAGAAGGGACTCTTAAAGGTATTTTAAAATGGGACATAGGTTTGTGGCTCACATCAAGAAATAACTCTAGTTATTTCGAGATATATTTTGTATTATTGTCCATTATTCTACGAGATTATTCCCAGCCAAAGTGTATGAGAGAGGCATAAAGAAAGAATAATGTACATAGCACGACATGGGCATCGCCAAGGAGCACTATTTCCCGCCCCCCCCCCCCCATTCGTAAGAAAATATTAGCGCCAAATCAGCCAACCGGCGAAAAAGCGGGGGGGGGGGGGGGACTAATTTAATTTGGGGGGGGGGGGCTTAACGGGGGGGGAGTGAAGATTCCTCTTTTATTTTAGTCAACATTCACCCCCCCCCCCTCATTGAGCAAATAAAAAGATAACATCCCCCATTTGTAAACATCTGAAACACAGATAAATGGTGTCTACAAAATTCTAAAACACCTATCAAAAACGCCCTCTTTGCCAAGGGAGGGTGTTTGAACACCACCACCCCCTCGATACGCCAATGCAGTCGAGTGTAGTTTCTACATGCAGAAATTTAAAGGGCCAACGTACATTTTGATAAGAAGAAAATATGTGGTCTAATGGGCACATAAGACATCAGAACATAATCCATCGGAGTATGCTTTTTTTTCTTCTCTGGACGGGCACCCTTTTTGAATCACGAAATATCCGAGGCTGTACGCCCCTGACACCTTAGTCCAGAATCTGACTATTTAATTTTGATCTCCACCACACCAACGCAAAATGCGGCCTCCCCTACTTAGTTGCTTTCTTTTTCTTCTCCTTCTTTCGATATATATATATATAGAACCTTCCTTATAAATTTGAGCACATTTGATTTCACAGCCAAATCATAGCATGATCTTAATATCCCCAATCTTTCTTATAGGACCGTTTAAAGGGACTTAGTAACATTGTTAATATGAGAGAAAATGGTGCCAAGGTAATGACTTCAATGCTAAATGTAAAATTACAGATAATCTGAAAGTTTTAGTGAAAACAGACCATTATTAATATTACAAATGGGGGAAAACTGATCTGATCGATTCCTTAATTCTCCCAACTATATTATTGCAATTTAATTACATTTTAGGTGAATTTAAATCGTCACAAAGCCTGCTTTTATTCAGTACTACAACACCAACAACAAAAAATGATGCTAGTGAATTCAACAATTCCCAAAATCAATATAGCAGCTCAGAAGCCATAAATAGGGTTAATGAAATTTAATAGAATTCAAATAACATAGACATATATAAAAATAGGTAAATCGAAACGAAAATCATTTAGATTATTATTATTTTATTTTTTTCATAGGTTTTTATTCATTTCTCTCATAAAGAAAATTGTACATAATTTATAACATTGTATACAAACTCACAAAATAATTTTCACATAGGTCTAAATAAATTTTCAAATGAACTTTTACATTTACATAGAAGGTTACAACTAAAGTTACACATTAGCAGATGAAAAATATTCACATAAACAAAATTATATTTTCACATTAAAAAAAAAAAATCGCAAATAAAATTTGTACTATTTTCTGGACCAGTTTGCTTATAAATCTCAAAATATTTCTTTTCCACAATATTTTGTTTTCCTCTTAAATTTCCTTTAGAGACAAAAAAAATATATATATATATAAAAAGAGAAAGAGCTAGAAAACACCTATTACCCCCCGCCCCACACATAACAAGTACAACAATATACAAAACACACTCCAATATAGAACGAACTAACAGACAAAAGAAAAAGAAAAAGAAAAGAAGAAAGAAAGAAAAAAAAGAAGAAGAAAAATAGATAAAAAAATAAAGCAAAGGTGACAATATTGAATTGATAGGAGAAGCAAAAACAAGATAATGTTACATTCCAAAGTACATGAAGTTATTCACGTTTAATTACGATGTTAGAACACTTTTCAGAAACTTTTGCTATTCTATCAAGAGACTCGGAGCAGTCTAAGCACAGATTTGGGCCAACTTGAATTCAGTTGGTGAAAACATGGCGTATATATATATATATACATTGTTTTAGTGCTGGCCAAACAAAGTAGTAATCACCATTTTGTGCCCAACTCGAACCGACATGGCGAAACTCTGCTGATCCATCGTACTGAAGGGACTATATACAAATAAGAGATCAGCACCTTCTCTCTATCCGATTCGTTTGTACGAAAATCAAATCAAAGCGCTACCCCATTCCTCTGACACACGTTACAATACATTCTCAGATTTATAAAAAGAAAAATCATACGAATAGTATCAAATTTTGCAGCAAAGTATTCATATAATTCAAGGTCACAATTTTTGTGTTTTCATTGATTTTAAATTCTCAACACTCCAATTCTTTTTCGTACATAAAATAGTTTATACCAAACTGCAACATAATTTAAAAAAAGCTTTTTTATCATTTGATAAACTATCAGAAATTAAAAAAAAAATTGTTGTTCATTATGTCACAAAGTATTGGACGAAAATATATCACAATCACATAATTAAAAGATATAACCGCACTAAACAGTTATTTCAGCCCCAAAACTAGAACAAAACGATGCCTTTTTTTCTCCAGAAAAAGACTGAAAAGTTAGAAAAAAAAGAATATACACAAAAATAATGAGTTTCATATTTCTCAACATATTATTATCATGCAGAATTGAAATGTTGATTTTTCTTTCATTAAAACACGATCTATCCCAAAACCCTTTCCCTCATAATTATGATTACTATGGTTGCGGGCATGACGGGTGTATGGGACATGATCAATATTCATCATGAATTTGCTCAGCACTTTATTAACCCTGACACTGGCATGCATTCATGATACTGTTGTCATGGTTACACGCCTTAACCTTTATAATCAGGATAATTGAATTTATTGTCTCCCATGAGTTTCGCAAGTTCCACATTAAACGGTCGATGAAAATCATTGAGGGCGTTCAATGTCTCTGGATGTGTCTGTTCATGTTGTCTTTGGTTCTGATTACTACGTCTCCTTTTCAGTATTCTATTCTCTTCATCCACACTCAGTTGTCCTGGGTAAGAATAGCAGAGCAGAGATATAATGAAATGTTAACTCGGGGGGGGGGGGGGGGGGGGGGCATTATGGAAACGGCCGATCGCCGCGAAAATGTGCACGAATGTCAAGTGAAGTGTACAGAACACTATGGTAAATTTAACTTTTTGAAAAATTCACTCATTTGCATATTTATGGTAATTTATGCAAATAAGGTCATAAAATTAACATTTTAACTCATAAATCATATATTCTTCATATTTTAACATGAGTTTTCACTACATATAATCTTTAGACCATTTGGAATAATAATACCAACAGAAAATTGGAAGAATGGCTTTATTCCTTATGTTATCTATTGATTTGATAATTTCTTATGTATTTCTTTGTTATTTTAATTTATGTATTTTATTGTTTTTGTTGTTTTATTTTAATTCTAACTATAATCCAACTATTTTGAACCCTAAAATAAACACCCAAACTATAAACAAGAGCAAATAACCAATGTTTTATTTCTTTTTTGGAAAAATGAGATTTCCTTACGTTTTGTACACAAATCACGAAAATGAGCGATTTTCGGGCTGACATGCAAAGACAAAAGGTCACGTGACTTTGTAACGGTAGGTCCGATTTTCGAATAATTTATTTCAAAAGATGCGCAAGACTCGAAAGAAAAAAGTCTTCGAGCGGCGGGGCGCCACCCGTATGCGTTCCCGAACAATCAGAAAAATCGCGGGGGGGGGGGGCATAATGGCCCACCGGCCTTACTAGGGTTAAACACTGGTAGACACAACAGAAATACAATGTTTACCGCTAAACATGCTACAGACTGGATGTGAGCTGGTCCAGCCTTTAGCATGTTTAGCGGTAAACAATGTGGTAAACATTTTTGGTGTACCCATACAGCGAGCACATTTTTTTTTTGTCCCGAAAACTGGAAAATTTGGCCGACCGATATTTCGTTCAGCTTTTTCCTAAATTTAAACACACACACATACATTTGTTTAGGGGGTCGACCACCCCCCCCCCCCCTCCCTCATGCGTACGCGCCTGGGTCCATGATTAATCCAACCAACACTAAACCAAATCAAAAGTCCAATGCCTTCGCGGTACGTTCTGATTGATTGAAAGTGTGTTTGGTTTTCAGAGGTACATTTTATCAAACTTGTATTGAGCTTTGTAACGTCAATAAAAAATAGAATACTTTCTGTTGAGATACAATGCCTATTTTTGATATGACCGACTCGAGCTTTTAATGACTGTGTAGAGGATCCAAAGCTGCAAAATAATCCGAAAGTCGAATGTTTTCTAAAAACCTTTTGATAATCGATTGCACATCATTATGACCCTCATTATTCTAAGCTCTGATTTTATTTCTCCAACTTCATGTTTTCATTATTTTGGTTTTAAACCTCATGGTCTTTTCCCGCCGTATTTGAGATTATATAATCAATGTCTTACTTACTTAGATCGAGGAAGTTGAGAAGATCTCTGTAGACTGTGACAGGTTCGGCTTCCCAATCCTCCAATCGTATCACCTTGAAATTATCACGTGGGAAGACTTTCAACCAATCACGGATGTACACGTGATATATACCCACTTGCAGGTCTGGGATTAGGTCGTAGGGCTAAGGATGCAAAGGAGTATAATAACAAAGCATATTTCTGTGATAATGTCCCGGGTCACCATATTCTGAGGAAAACAAGATTCGTCAAATTTCTACCGACGAGTAGCGCAAGAACCACAAGAATTGAATCACTGACCATCTTTTGGATAGGTCTTTGTACATGTTAAAAGTTGTTGATGTTATATGATTAGATTCACTTATTAATATCTCTCTCTCTCTCTCTCTCTTTCTCGTGGAGAACAAATACTTATTCCACGGTCAGGGATGTTCACAAGTATGCGTTCCGAAAATTGGAATGAAGTAAAATGTACGAATGTTCGAATATTTCACAGTGTAATAGATGGCCTACACAGGGCTGTTGGAATGGATTAAAAAAAGCTATTGGCTGGGATAATGCTCAATTCAGGAGAAAAAGAAATGCAACAGCTTAGAGTTGTGAGTAAGCCTAGAAGGCCGCAAATTATTCTTTCGGGGGGGGGGGGGGGGGGTTAAATCATAATTATGAAAGCTTTAACATTAAAGATAAACTTGAGTTCTGGTTTAAAAAAAAAATGAATTCTCACAGAATCAAACGAAACTTACACTCAATGTTCAAGGTTACAAATAAATGTCATTTGCCAAACAATTTTGGAAGAAAATGTATACTGGCTGAGTAATGAACATAGAAAGATAAAGAAATCAAGGTAAGGTAGCCCCGACACCATTTGTGTAGTCCCATATACATCTTTCTGTGTACAGTGCTTGTTACTTTACCAAGACTGGGCAAAATTTATTATGATTTTGATGACTCCAGAACCTTGCAGTGCACACCAATACTCACATGCTACATTATGATCAACATTTTCTGATCCATTCCACACCTTTTCTTTCACAATGCAATCGCATTACTAGAACTCACCTTTATCTTTAAATAATTGGATTTGACTAAAAACATAATGCTTAAACATAATTTATGATTACAAATTCGGGATAAACCACAGTCTGTCCGATGGATTAGACCCTTATACCAATAATATTCTACTCACACATTCTGCAGCATATGCGCAGAACCTTAGATTGTGGTCTTGGACGCATTTTTTGAAACACTGGATGTAAGTGGTAACTTGTTGATGCCATCTGTCAGCGTCACCTGGACTTGGAAGGTGTGTATACCAGAATAACGAGTCGGCTCTGTATTCATATCGGTGTATGTGGACAGGAGAGAGAGAGAGAGAGAGAGAAGTTCGATCTAATTACTAACAACCATATTTCATTTCTTTATTGATCCCCGGCTGGAAGTGTCGTGGTCGAGTGGTTTAAGGCGCTTGACTTGGAGATGCGAAGGTCGAGGGTTCGAATCCCGACACGGCACTAATATCCTTTGACAAGATATTAACCTGCAATTGCTACTCTCCACCCAGGTGTTAAATGGGTACCCGGTAGGATGCGACCGTCATTGTTGGTCAAACAGTTTTTGAGCGTCATGTAACGCCTGGCTGGAATGCTCCCCAGGGAGTGGAGATTGTGCACATACTGTGTGCGGGCAAGCACTGAATCCAATGACCGGGGTAATAGTATATTTGTAAAGCGCTTAGAGACATTTGTATTAAGCGCTATCAATGGCGTAGACAGGTTCGTACACTTGGGGGGATGACTCAGGGGCGGATCTAGCTTTTTGCTAAGGGGGGGGGGGGGTGACCAATAATGAGCATCGTCCACGAGCCGCGAAGCGGCGAGCCGATTTTTTTTGGGGGTGTTATTTTGAACCCCGTAAGTGATGTTTTCCTGGCATCTATTAACACAATGGAGACCATAAAAAGCAGTGCATGATAACGTCTTTTTAAATCAAGTAACAGTTAAATACACAGTTATATCCAGAGTTATCATGTGTTTGGTTAAGTTACCAGATGAGTTGAATATCTTCTCACAATATTTGCACTTGAAAGGGTTTCTCTCCAGCGTGCGTTCTTTTTTCTTTCTTTTTTCTTTTTTTTTTCCTTTTTTGTTTTGTTTGTTTTTTGGGCCGCCCAAGGGGGGTTTAAACCCCCTAAACCCCCCCCCCCCCGTAGATCCGCGCCTGTTTAATCTTGTGGTTATCTTGTGGTTTCCAAACCACAAGATAACCACAAAATACTTGTAAGATTTTCTTTTTTTTTACCGTCTGAATTGGCTTTCACCGTGTGAATGCGGCTAATAACAATAAACACAATTACAATAATGATGAGGATTATTATTATCATCATCATAATTATTATTATTATTATTAATATTATAATTGTTATCATTATTATTATTACTATTATTATCATCATTATTACTTATTAAGTAAGCAAATATCATTCCCCAAAACCTGGGGGGGATGATTGTACATGCCATCCCCCCACCTTGTGAGGTGGGGGGATGCATCCCCCTCATCCCCCCCCCCCCCCCGTTGTCTACGCCCCTGAGCGCTATATAAAAAACTAAATATTATTATTATTATTCTTATTATAATAATTATGTTTCCATTTCCCGGCCAGACTGATGCTATCGCTTCACCCCTGCAGTATATGAAACGCAGGGCCACCGAACACCCGACGTACGGTCGTTGTGGAACAGCTCTACGGCATGGCTACGGTGTGTACCGTGTGAGTCGAAATAAAGTTAATACCTAGTAAATTCCTAATTATTTAAAAACTCATCTATGAACAGTAAATTATTATACATCTTATGAAAGAGTGTTCTACCCCAAATCATTTGGTATCATCTTTGGGTAGTATATTTTCACGCTTGGATGAACATGGGGCATTGTTTGCGAGAGTGCAAAAATCGACTTGCGCCAAAGTGATGCCTACAGCATGTATTATGTTGGGATTAGCGGAGTGAGAGAATGAATTGAATGTATCAAATGAAACGCATTGCATATGCTTTTTGCAGAAGCAAAGTCACACAGGCACACACACACGCGCACAAATGTTCTTTGATATTCTATATTCGATATTTGATATGTGTGGCATGATTAATTTTGTTAGGGATGTTATTTGGATCTGCAAATACCGATTCAATTCCCCAATCCCAATTGTTTAATTCAAACATCACATGAGCAACTTTGGCGCAAGTCGACTTTTGCACTCTCGCAAACAATGCCTCCTGTTCATCCAAGCGTGAACACATACCACACAAAAATGATACCAAATGATTTGGGATAAAACACTCTTTCATAAGATGTATAACTAGATTTGTAATACTTGTTTTGAACAAGTATAGGTGGGCTGTTTCATTTAAATTTAAAGGGCACATTTGTGATAACTTATTGTCTCAGCTTCAACATACGTGAAGCTCAGCGAAAACGAAGCTAAAACGACAGAGATATTGCTCGGGAAAGACGGGAATGTAGAATCGAGTTTTGAGAAAAACTCATGTCCCATAGAGAATACACGCAAAATGTGAAAAATTGACATGCCTCTTTTAATCGCAAAAATTCGCCATGATGCTTTTGTCAAAATGAACAATGTGAACAAAAAATTTGTAGAAAATTGTCTCAGCTAAAACATATTAAAATTTGGAAAACAATCCATCAATATTTACAGAGATACAATCAATTTTTCAAAAAAAAATCTGACGTCATAATATGCAAATTGAAGTTATGAGTTTGGAGGCCGTTATGGTGACGTCTTGAGTTAATTGAGGGTCAAATGAGACATCAAACAATATCTCTGAAAAAATTGGGGTCACCTTGCATCCTAAAGAGCTACAATGGATTTTGTATAGGCATGTTTTTGCCCATATATATGCTATGTTTTACAAGAGTTCGCGCGCACGGAAATTTTTGTTAAATGGTCGATCATTCCGTTATTAATTGTCATAAAGAGACAAACATGGTATCAATTTGTTTGTAAAAATATTTGGAATATTATGAAAGCAAAAAAAATGGCGATCCTATGTTGGGTAATAGTTTTACGCGCAAAAACGCGCGCGCATGCACGTGTGCGCGATTTTTTATAAAATGCTTAGAATGGCCTAAAACGTATGCAAAATGATTTTGAGACGATTTTGAGCATTTTAAAATTTTGCGCGCACATTGACGCGCGGACGTACGCGCACGCGCGCGTTATTTGACCTGAAATAGATAGGGTATATAATTTCGTATATGGCTTGAAAGGGGATATCTTCGGGTATCTAAATCCAAAAAAGGGTACGGGTCTGCCAAGCCATAATGGAGATACGGCCACAGAAAGAAAGCCAATTCCCAGAACTTTAGAGGGCGCTATTTATTTTGTGCATAGTCATTGGAGCGTGAAATTTGGCATGGCTATGTGCAAATATAAGATAAAGATACTGTGAGATTTAAATACAAAACGGAATTTATGTAAAAAAGTTATGGCAGTTTTAGATTTGTTGGGGTCCACTTTTCAAGAATTTTAAAGATTTTTGACGGAGTCAGTTTTGGATTTGAATTTTGAGTACGAAGATGGCATTTTGAAGGTCAGGTTATGTGTCGCAGATGAAAGAACATCTCTCAGAATATCTAAAGGAATTTGTTAGAAGTTTGTAGGATCTAGGATAGTGAAGATAGGAAGGAATGAAGAAAGGCCTTAAAATGGACCAGAAACGGACAAAATGGCGCCTGGATGGTTAGGCATGATGATTTCGAAAATCGAAAAAATAGGTGACCTTGATGAGATGCTAGAGACTATGCCTATGAAATTTGAACGGAAATGGACATGAGGAAAGCACCTAACTAGGAATAACAAACACTACGTGCAAAACGAATGCGATTTCCTGGGAAGAAGAAGAATATTAATGGGGAAGAACGTGAACGAAAACAAGGCAATGACGATATTCGTCATTGCAATAAATAAAGGCAATTCTAACGAAATTATAAGGTGGTCTGTACGTTTTACAGCCCACCTGATAATAAAGGCAATTCTAACGAAATTATAAGGTGGTGTATACGATATACAGCCCACCTGATAATAAAGGCAATTTTAACAAAATTATAAGGTGGTCTGTATTAGATACAGCCCACTTAATAATAAAGGCAATTTTAACAAAATTATAAGGTGGTCTGTATTAGATACAGTTTGTTTGGGGGTTAACCCCCCCCCCCCCCCCTCTTTGGTATTTTTATGTGTATAAACCCCCCCCCCCCTTGGATTTTTTTTTTTTTTTTAAATTATTAAAAAAAAAAAAAAAAAAATATTCCCATGGCTGACCTAAAAAGGTGACCTTATTCCCCCCCCCCCCCCGTGGAGCGAAATGTCAAATTTTCAAATTTTGAGACCAAAAAAAAAAAAAGTGTCCTTCTTACCCCCCCCCCCCCCCCGCTTATTCAGCGGCTGGCCGAGTCGTTGATTTATAAATTTTAACCCCCCCCCCTTTGAAAAAATCCTGCGTACGCGCCTGTCTGTACGACATACAGCCCACCTGACAATAAAGAATAATAAAGGCGATTTTAACAAAATGATAAGGTGGTCTATATATTAGATACAGCCCACCTGATAATAAAGGCAAATCTAACGAAATTATAAGGTGGTCTGTACGATATACAGCCCACCTGAAAATAAATAAATAAATAAACAAAGGCAATTCTAACGAAATTATAAGGTGGTCTGTACGATATACAGCCCACCTGATAATTACAAAAATAACATTAGTAACACCACCAACCATAATAATCATTGTTGTCATTATTATTGTGATACTGCTTCTAATACTACTCCTACTACATGTACTAGGAAGAAGGAGGGGAAGAGGAAGAATCTTATTGTTTATTTTCTGTATTATCGAGGCATACAAATTCACAGGGAGGTAAAAGAGGGGGAAAGTAAGGCGACGAAGAGGGAGAGAGAGGGAGAGAGAACGAGAGGGGGTAGCCTATGGCCCGGGCTCAAATTCAGTTCTCTTTAATTTATTTGACCCAGTACTGTTGATCATAATTTTATCTACCATGTGATTGCCATGTGTACGCCACACTGAATAGCACTAGCTCACATTTTGTTATTGTTGTCGAGAACTTATTGGCATGCAGCCAGTAGATTTTCATCATGTGTTTGATCTTGTATTGAAAAAAAGATCAAACACATCATCATAATCTACAGAGTGCAACCCAAAAATTCTTAACAACAATTGAAATTTCTTTCAGGAAGCCTAAAACCAAAAGCTGTTTTTGATTCAAAGAGCATCGTAGAGACGATGAACAAATAAGAATA